TAAGTCATTTGACTCCCCGGTTCTCGGACCTCCTTTTGTAGTTTTTCCACGCCGGCCTACCACCGTACCGACGCCCCGCGGTTAGCGAAATCGGTACCACGCAGGTGCCACGCCAATTTTCTCTGTATCGTTCCAATTTTAACGGATGTCCCGAAGGACTAGCTGAAAACCGCGGGGTYGAGGCATCACCAATGGGCCGACCGGCCCCAGACAAGTCAGAAATATTTGTCATCAAGTTCCATTACCTGGATTCAAACACGGGTCTGTATTTCAAAAGTTCAATGGTGTACCCACCGAGCTAAGCTCTTGGGTTCCACGGTCGGTCCACAGACCAGAACCGGACCACGTCCCAAAATGGGACGAAATAAAAAGAAAATTAAAAAATAGGAATAATAATTAATAAAAATTAAAAGAAACTAGAAAAACGAGTTGGGGGACGGGAACTGCTGGGACTCAGCCCTCAGTCCTGCCCATCGGGCCCGCCGTCGGGACTCCCCGCAGAACAAAGGGAGATAGTCCCACGGGACTTTCAACCCCTCGGCTTAATCTCCAAACGCACTCCTCGCTCCGTCGCTGCAGCATGCTGGACGAAATCCCAGGATCTGCGTGGTGAAAGTTCAATGCTATAACCAATAGGGCTAAGCCCAAGTCTGGTTGCAGCAGGCCCAGTTCTGCATATGAAGAGTAACTGCAGGCTGTTACAGCCTATCCGGGCCTGCAAAGGTGCACCAGCGCCTTCTCTTGGTCTGCCCCTTGAGCCCAAGCCCCGTACGGCCATGTTCTCTGCTTGGAGGACGATTATTGTTGAGTTTACCATGCGCACTTCCCCGCCATGCCGCGGTCACGGGCCGAGGCTCTCGTAGCCCGCAGTACTCGTCGAAAAGAGCATGCTTTTATCGTCTTTGGTCGGAAAGACCCCGACTTTTGCTCGCGCCGTATCCATGCGTCGTACCTAGCTAAATTTTGTTACAGCTCCTACCGTCGATACCTTTATAGTCAATTGTAGTACTTGCACACTTTACATGGTGCGCCCTCAAAATGCCGCCCTTCCGCAAGTCAGTCGAAAGTTTTCCTCTAGCCATAGCTTCGACGGTCTAACTTCGCACCGGTGGCGACTCCGTCAGTACGTTCGAAGTCTGCGGCCCGTGCTACGCTATCCGAACCCCTAGCTTACTTTTAACTTGGACCGCCGAGCGGTCCATCTGTTCACACTATTTAACTAACGCGTGCCTACAAAGTGCACGCCCACACACTCTTTGAATAAGCTATGCGTGCCCCGCCGTCCCTGACTTCAAAGTCAGTCACGGTCGAGCGAAAAACACGCTACTTCCTTAAATTTTATCAAGAGTGCTCCCCCTGCGAGGTGCAAGGGTACGCACAATTACCCTTGTAAGGGTATTGGTGCCGACAGTTTTTCCGGGCCCTATTAAGCGATGTCCCTGTCGCGTCGAACAATCAAATGCTATAAGCACTCAAAATCCCATCTGCTGACGAGGTAGTAACCATTCCGACTAGCCGGCTCGACTCTGTTAGAGGCATCTTGTCAATCTATCCCAGTCACGGCGTTCCACTGCCAAGGTTGTAACCTGGGTCTCCCACATCCTGGCCTAGGAGTTAGGGTGTACTGTCATCCGTACTACAGCGTAATACCCGCTTCCAAGTAGTAGATTGATAGCCCTCCTCCCTTCGTCGTAGACATCTGCCGGTTTATCGTTGGGTGTCCTAATGAGTCATCATCCCGCGTACGGGGTCATAACTCAGGACGCGGGCCCTAACCGAGACCTCTCTAAAAAAACGGGGCACCTTTAGTCCCCAAAATGATAATTTTTACCATCTCAAATATCTCTCACAATAACTGCCCACCCTGGTGTCTACACAAGAGGTTTTCAGGTCTCCATCTTGGCCCACCGCAGAACGGTCGATCACACCGTATCCATGGCTCATCGCGTTGTTATATAGCGATGATGCCCTCGTTGGTTGCGCAACGATAGGCGTACTTACCGGCTCTCAGACTCATTCAACCCCACTGACTCCCCCCTAGCTATACCTCTCCAGGCGACCGACCCTTCAAGATTTAMCMATTGGTGAGTCGTGGTYCCGCTGCCAGGTTGCGCCGGTCAGCGACCCTCGCTGGGAGTTAGGTTCTACAGTTCCAGCGATGCTAAGTATAGCCCCTTAGCTTGGCCTCACAAAATATGTCCCCCTAGACTAGCCATTGTGGTCTGGAAAATAGCTCTGGACAACCTCTAGATTCACTTACCCTCCCAACCTCGGACTATGTGGGGGGATAGTGTCTCTTTCTCTCTTTGTTCCAGCAACTTTCTCTCTTATCCACAAGGTCGTGCCCCCCTTTACTTTGATCAGAACAGGCGGCGGTCACACGTCTTAGGGACACCTCACAA